ATATATATATATATATATATATATAAAATGATAAAGCTTTGGGCTTTAATAAGAACCCTTCCTTTCTATCTATCAGTTTCATATTCTGGCAAAAAAAAACAAAATACTTATTTTCTTCTTTTAGTCCCTAGCCAATGTAACCCAGGAGAACATTGCTTCCTGTTCCTTTTAACATACCTGTCTATTGGAGGGAAAATAAATGAACACAAGAAAAACATAAATAAATGATGAATAATTATACATTTTATAATTATAAAGTCAAGCTCATCTTGTTATATGTCAGATGACCAAGCTCTTTGCCCAGCCATGATGATTCAGGAAAAGAAACATATCCACAAATATAAGATGAACAAAAGCAACCATATCAAAGGTATCTGCATTCTCATAATTGTAATCATTTAAATTTAGAATTCAAGAGCTTCCTTCTCACAAAGAAAGTCCCAGAAACAGAAATTTGTTTAAACTTCCCCAATGATTAAAAACGTTTTCAACTCAAGTCTATAGAGATTATAATTCTACAAAAATGAAACTACCTGTGCTAAATGAACATACTGTGAATAAGGAAAGGCAATACAGATGCACAGATAAAGGCAGAAGACCCTTTTATTTCGCATAGACAAAATGCAAAGTGTCTCATTAAATCAATATAAAAGGAAAAGAGATGCCAAATCAAATCGATGCCCCTTCCCTTCCCCACTTCACTGACACACAGCACTCATCCTAATTAACAGTGAAAAAAAAACTGATCAATGACCCATTTGCTAGTTTAAAAAAAATGTGCAAAACATGACAAAAGACTTTTTTTGCCTTTTTAAAATAAATATCCCTGTTAAATTCACAGAGTGCTTTCCTTTTTTAAAATTGTTTTCTTTCTTCTTAATTGTGTGTGTGTGTATGGAACTCCCAGTTTAAAATATTTTATTTAATCCCCATGCACTTTGTAGAAAATCAGTAAAAACACAAAATCTTGTGAATATCAGAAAAAAGTGGACTCCCTTTTCTTAAAAAATTCAGGAGGTCCATTCAGATGAAGCTCACACTCAGACAGAAAAAAAGCAGGAGAGTCTTTGCACTGTCTGTCAGTTGCATTTTTGTTCCAAATATTTTGGCAATCTTCTTCTTTAATTATAAATATTGGTATTCAATAAAAAAGGTAGCTTTGATTGGATTTTTAAATAATTATTAAGTATGTACAGCCACTGTCCAGCCATGCTCTCTTTTTGTTATACAAGGGTATAAGATTTTGCGTAGGGATTGTTTCCTTTTAAGTGGCTCCGAGAGTCCAGGAGGGATTCTTGGGAGCTGCTCATTTTTGCTGCCTGTCCTAGCTCAGCTCCTTCTCGCTGAGGTAATGTTGCTACGCCACCAGATTGCCATGACTGTGCTTCTCTCGTGGAGGAAGCCTCCACAGGGACTGGCTCCAAGACGGCCGGGCGCTTCAAGGTTCGGCTTTTTTGAGGTTCCAGGCAGGTCTGTCCCAAACCCAAGTCTCTGCTAGTGCCTGGAACGCCTCGGTTTAACAAAAAGTCCATCCGAAGATACGGTGGCAAATGCATGAGGTCACCTGTTAGGGAGAGGAGAGAAAAAGGAAAGAGTTAGTCTGCGTGACCTAACCGCCAACATGTGCTGAGGCACGCAGAGAGAAGAAAGAGGATGCTCTGAACCCAGAAATATACATCTCTGCAGAGTAATTCGACATATAGCAACCAAACCAAATTTGTTCATTAATTTCAAGCAATATTGATGCATGAAATTGGGCAGCCCTGCACTTGATTTTTACTGCAGAGTTGATGGTATTCATGTATTCAGGGCGGAAAGAAAGGCAAGATGATAAAAATAGTATTTTGAATAGGAGGGAAGGCAAACACCACCTTTCCACACTTTCAGATGTCACATTCACAAAAACATATTCAACCCCAATCCACTGGGCAGGAATATATCTCACTTGTTCCAGTGCAGTTGGCTTCAAAGTAGATGAACACTGATCTGGAAAGGAGTGAAATATGAAAGGCTGCAACGAATGTTGGACACAGCGAATCATTTTTTTATGAGGGATCATGCTATCCATTAAATGTATGTATGATTAAACAGATAAATAAGGAGTTGAATAGCATGTCCAGAACATGATAATGGAATATGATTCACAGGGGCTTTCTGTTAATGTTTCCACAATAAATGTATAGGAATTAGGCATTTAATGAATTATTTATAAAAAATACTCTATGTTTCCAAAAAGAAAGGAGTATTTATATTTTATTTAGTATGTACATCTCACCTTTCAACTCCAGGATACATTCAAGGCAGCTAACAAAAAATTTAAAACTCTAATGGCATATATAAACACGTGTATAAATTATCACTACCAATAAAATTAACAATCTGCCCAAAAGTTGCATCTTGAAAAATTTTCTAAAGTCAGAGAGAATGAAAATTAAATACAATCTTAATGGAGTACGTAGTAGTCTGGGAACCATACAGGAGAAAGTTTTATCCTGCATGCTTGAAAGATGAACTTCCAAAAGCATGAGTATTTGCAAGAAACCTCTCTAGAGCATGTGCAGAAAAAGCTTTTCTGAGCCATCTGCAGAAAATCATGATGCCCTCACACAAATGCCAGTATTAAATACTTGACTCTCAATGTCTGAAACAAGTACTTTAGCTGTACATAAGTTGTGTGCTACATACATGTCATCACACATTGCTTTTCCTTGTCCCTTCACAGAGACCCATGCTTCTGCTGAGGATCTTAACAAATAGCAAGGTTCAAAGAAGAGTCATTCCTTAGATAAATAGGCCCTAAGCTGTTTAGGGCTTTAGATACCAAACCTTAAATTATGCCAGGCATGTAGTACAGGCATCACAAGGTTTATGCAACCTGCACTAGTTAGTAGCCTAGCTGACACATTTTATCCTACAGTAACTGCAACTTCTACACTTAGTCCTTGACTTACGGCCACAATTAAGCCCAAAATTTCTGTTGCTAAGTGAGAAAGTTGTTAAGTGCCCCATTTTATGACCTTTCTTGCTACAGTTGTTAAGTGAACAACTGCAGTTGTTAAGTTAGTAACAAGTTATTAAGTGAATCTGGCTTCCTCGTTGACTTTTCTTGTCAGGTCACAAAAAGGGGATTACATGACCCCAGGACACTGCAGCTGTCATAAATATGAATCAGTTGGCAAGCATATGAATTTTGATCACATGATCACAGGGATGCTGCAACAGTTATAAGTACAAAAAATGTTCATAAGTCCCTTTTTTCAGTGCCACTGTAACTTTTAACAGTCACTAAATGAACTGTTGTAAGTCAAGGACTACCTTTATATGCTTTTTCATTATATATTTTATTAATTTTTAAAATAGACAAATAATAACAAAGCAATGCTCGTGCATTTTATTTCTTTTAAACTATTGTTATATAACTAAAAGAAAAATAACTTTTCATGGATAGCCTCAGGTAGAACATGTTGCACTATTAAATATAACTAAAATATGGTGTATTGCTGCCAAATCTGAGTTTATCAGATTTGTTATTTTAGGCATGTGATATAATATCCAGAAAGTTTAGCAGCCCCATATTCTTCCACCTATTTCCACTTTTGTCAACTTCCAGCTCAAGTATCCAAGTAAAAGTTCAGGATTATTTTTATTTCTGAAAATCTTACTGTTTATTGAATACATGGCCTGGTAAAAACAGTAAGATTTTCAGAAATGAAAATAATTCTGGACTTTTATTTGGATACTTGAGCTGGAAGTTGACATTAAACTAATTCATGTGAAAACAACACCTCCCCTGCCCTCCTTATTCTAATGGCAAGATGAAAACAGAGAGGCGTATAGCTGCAAAGTTTTCACTCTTGACAGTTTAGGTCTTTCACCAGTGACCACAATACTGTAGTTTCAGTATGTCCCAGCTGAAAGACTGACTGAAATACCTCTAAAAAATATTATTGTGCTCTAGGATCCACTATAATAATAATGGAAGAAAAAAGTATGTATAATTTATTATTCAAAGAAACAAAAATAGGGAAGAGTGAGTGAGTGAGTGAGTGAGTGAATGATTAAACAGTATTCCTGTTATATACTGATCTACAATAATTGTTATATGTTTATATAACTCTTTAAATAGCAGTTGCCCACTCAAGATACATTATATACACATTTTTCCACTCCATAGAACAGAACAATTATAGTTCTCCACTTGGGAAACAGCTTCTAAACAACAGCGGTGTCTGTGATAGCCATGTAATGGAAGATGCTTGTTTACAAAACATAACATACTACAGCCTTAATGTTTAGATGGAATTTGGTTATTTCATAAAAGTGAGTGTTCTTCATTTATTACTTAATTGCATCTATCTGTTCTTGAACAGTGGTTTAAACATCTCCCTGGGGATTACCATGATGGGAAATATAACTCCAAGGGCTTTGAAAAATTACACTTGCAAAAGCATGAGCTCCTAGCAGGGCCATATTTGTTTTATTTAAATTATTTTATTTTATTGGATTTGTTAAGGCTACCCATCTCCGAGAAGACTGGATGTCATACAATAAGTTCAATACTTATGATTCCTGACTTCTCAGACCAAAACACTTCTTGAAATGCAACAAAAACACAATAGGGACTGCAGAGACACCCTAATCACAGACCTGGGAACAAGGCGGGTCATAATAGACTTCCGGAGAATAATGAGAGTGGGAAGTGTGTATATCTCTGGAGAGAGGCTGTTTCAGCAGTCATGGACTCTAACAGAGAAAGTATGTTTCTAAGCACTTTTTCTAAGATGACAGCATTTATTTGAGGGGACCTGGTGCATATCCACTCTGCCTGAATACATCTAATAGGAAGAAACAACTGGAAATAGAGGATCTCTTAAATAATTAGGCTTTATCCCATGAAGGACTTTATAGGTAACAGGCAACACTTCAAATTATATTTGAAGCCAACTGGTGAGCAATGAAGTTTGTTTAATAGTGATCACACATGGGTATATCAAAATTCAACTGTTACTGCTTGTGCTCTTTTAAACCAGCTGTAGTTGCTGATGATCTTCAAGGTTCCCATTTAGAGTACTTTGCAATAGTCCAATAATGAGGGCTGTGGTTGTGCTTGGAGGTGTTGGATGCAGTTGTTTGGTTGGGGTAACACTCTTGGCGGAAGAAGTATGAATATCTGGGTCTTGGACATCAGTATCTGGGATGGAAGTGGACTGTGGGAGGGAGGGGAAGAGTAAGGGCAGATGCCATTATTGGAACTATAATAGGCAGAGTTAGATGTAGTGGAAATCTGAGATTGAGCCACACAGAGATGCTGGGAATGATATTTAAGAGCTATCCCATGCCTTGCCTTCAGTATTTACCCTCTGGAACAGATAAACAGATTCTTATTAACCCTAGACTCTTGCCTGTTGCTATTAAATGCTAGAGTAGCATGTAATAAGGCTACCGTCATCATGAATAGGTTGTAGAGAACGTGAGACCTCTTGTTGAGATTGGGCCTATACAAAAAATTAAAATGGCTGCTTGTTGTGCTGCCTTCCCTGCTGTGCAGCAGAATCCTGCTTTAACTACTGGATTTTACTTTTGGGTTGGCAGTGGTTTCCCTGAGGCTAATGGTCCTTGGGGATTTTTAACCTGCCTCTTGGTGGCATGAACCCATCCCATATAACAGAGGGCCCAATGTATACCAGGCATCACCCTCCTAGGCAGAGATGCAATACAAAGTTTAGATAAATGAAACATAACATTATTAGAGCATTCAGCCATGGCTTTCTATCCCTTGTTCACATGCAGAAACAAAAATAAACACTTTTCCTGATAAGAATAATCTGTGAGTACACCTTAGTTTGATTTCTCTCAGGAAGTATTTTCAAAGGCTGCAGAGGAAGTTTCTGAATGAGAATTGGAAAGAAAATCCACAGATTGGAGATAATGGCTAGAAACTATAAAGACCTAGACAGAGCTAACTATTAAAATATTTATGATTTTAACAGAGAACAAAGGAAGTCTGCATTGGATTATATTATATAATCCAATACATAGTAAAACCTGTCTATGCAACACAGATGGCCCTACTAGGGGCCAAAAATAATGGAAAATCAGAGAGTTTATCAGTTAAAAGAAAAAGCCATCTGTCAATTTCAGCCACAGAGGGAGTTTCTGCAAACTCTGTCTTAATTCCAGATTAGAAAGCATGTTTTCAAAACAGAGCAATATACATATATATTAAGCCAACATTACAGAGTTTATACATTTCCAAGCAGAAAACACTAACCTGGCATAATATTAAATAGTTCAGTAACTCTGCTATACAGAGTTTCAAGAAGCAATCTCAAAATGGATAACATAAGGGAAGAATAATGCAAATATTCAGGTTGTAGATTATGCTTGTAAAATCTGTCAGGGAAATCTAAACTGAACGCAACCTATTTGTTTAATATATATGAAGTATTCTAAAATGGAACTTTGCACCGGGTTTCTATCAGATTCTGAGAAGCCATAGAAAGCTCTGGTCACAAGGAGATTTCAATTACAATAGTGACCAGATCTGTCAAAATGGTAGTCTTT